CAAGGAGACCTAGGGTTTCTCCTATTCCATCCTGTAATGTTTTCAGAGTGTCTGCTTTGACTTCAAGGTCTTTGATCCATTTGGAGTTGATTCTGGTACCGGGTGATATATAAGGACCTAGCTTTAGTTTTCTACATGTAGTTAGCCAATTTTGTCAGCACCATTTACTGAAGAGGCTGTCTTTCTTCCATTCTATTGTAAAACAAGAATATTTGTAAGGCAGGATAAAAATTTGGTAGCAGATTAGATGTAGAAGAGCTGTGAGGTTGGAAAACTCAAACTGCTGCTTATGCCATTTAGCTGGCAGAGGAAACTCAAAGGAGGGAGGCAGATGTGGCGTACTAGTTTTTAAAACCGTAATTAATAGTACTTAATTGTTTACTTGAAATTAGCAAAAACTAGGTTTTTAGCATTTTTGCATCTCTCCACACAAATACTAACAACTATGGATGGTGATCAAATGTGTTAATTTGACTGGGTTAGACATTATATGATGGACACATATATCAAATAACCTCATTGTACTCAGTAACAATGTAGATAGCTTGTAAAAGGTCAAAAGAAACCTATAGATTTGGAATCGTCTTGTCTCTAAAATAGTTTAAAACCTATACATCCGATTTTTCCCCCAAGAAAAATGAGTATGAAGCACTGTGCACCAGTTTCATGAATGAGGTGGCATTTGATCTAATGCATTTGAAGAGCTCCTAAACAGAATGATTTTACTTGTTTTAGCAATTGAGAATCTTTGCATGTCCTTAATATTTACCCCCTTAATTGTTATACTTGTGATGTCTCCTTTCTACACTGCATAATTAGTTGGTATTTTAATTCTGCAGATCAAAGGGATTAGATACTCATTAGTAATGTGATTTTTCTATTCTGGGACAAATTCCAGATACTAGTTTTGTATCTTGCTGAGTATTTTCTCCTTTATTGTCATGCTGCTATTTATTGTCTCATATGGTATAATCAAGAATGGACAGATGATTTGTTGATTGAGAATGCATAGCCCTAGAAATGTTCTGTCTGGCTTCAGTGATTCTTATGATCAGGTTGGTCATTGTGTTCCTGTAACTGGAAACTCCTATCATGTTACTCCTAAGTTTACTATTTATGAGTCTCAGCAAGGCTCTCAATTAAAGCCTAAAGCTGTTCATCCTTACTGGCATCCTCAGGATTTTGTTGGAGTGGTTCGCAGAAGGGTATTTTAATGTCTCTGGCAGTACTGTTTTATTTGGTTGTTTTCTAGAGCTTAAATGCTATCCATTTTTTGTATTAATCATTGTAATATTATGATTAAGACTAGGTTGGAATCAATATTCCTTTCTTTATTGCTTTCCCAATTAGGGTGAATATATGACAGTAAGGCAAGCATCTTAGGGGAAAAAATCTTAGCACATACTTAAATAAGCTTGGTTTTCACAGCTTCACCAGGCCTAGAGTCTCAGTATTTCACAGTAAGAATGAAACAAGTATGTGAGTCATTTTATCCTCTACCACACTGAGGCTGGGCCTATTTGACCTTTACCTTAATGTCTGCAGAAATTGGTATTTTTCTCTGCACGAGTAGTTGTTTATTTTTCTCTAATTAGCATATAGTAAAGAAGCAACAGAACCAATGCTTCACTTGGCTATGATTCCTGGGATTTGGGAGCTTATCAGAATCTCCAGGGGTACTTAAAATGTGAAACAGTCCCCCAGGTGTGATTCTGATTTGCTTCCTTCTCCTCCTCCTCCTTTGAGAATTCTTGTTTCATGGAAAGCTTCAGCATAAAAAGGCACATTTAGTAATACCTTGTCCTTGCATCAGTAAGCTCCCTAACTCCACCTCCACATCCCAATACTTTTTCAAATGAATACTTCCTTCCTTCCTTCCTTCCTCCCTCCCTCCCTCCCTCCCTCCCTCCCTCCCT